GAATAATGCTCAGCTGCTCCCGCTGCTTTCTGTGCTGCGAAGGGAGATGGCAGTCTCACAAGGGCGAGCACCCTGTCACTGGCCCTTGGCTTCCTTTGGCAGTGCTGTTTCGCACTGATCACTCATCCATGTCAGTTCGGTTTTGCGTGCTTTATTTTACACAGTAATTTTTTGAGCTCAAACACCAAATCTGTGTGTTTTTTAACAGGAAATTCTCTTCTACCATGGAGACTAGGATGATCTCAGCGGTTTTGTGAATGGAAGCGCACATTACTGTCCTATGGCTGCAGTAGTTCTGTTGGACATTGTATTTAAGTCTATGTATTGGCCTTAAAAATAAATGAGACCAGTAATATGGTGGTGATTTTGTTCTTCAGACCCTTTGTCAGTGGCCCAGAATAATTATTGCTAATGTCTAAAATGGCTCTGGCCATTCTTCAAGTGCTAAATCTTCCTTCATGGGGAGATATGCTGGCTCCTAGATATTTAGGGTGAATGGTAGGTTATGCTATAACTATTTGAGGCCTTCAGCATTTCTCCTCCAAAGTCTTGTGGAAAAGCTCTTGGTGTGTCTCTTCAGATACTGTAGCATCCCCTTGCAGTTGACTACTAGTGTCATGGCTCTGGGCTTATCTTACTGTTTGGGTTTGCCTGTGGGTCCCTGTCCTGATCTTTTAGCAACAGCCACGGTACTTAGCAAGGTGTCTAAAGTCGTTGGTCTTGCACACCTGGGTCCCATCTTTCCTGTGCCCTGATACTATGTTTAAATAAGTTGCTTTACTAAGCACAGTTAGGAGACCATTGTTTGGGGTTAACAGCCTGCGCCTGGCAGCGAAATTCAAATCCTCTCCCTCTGTTTTGTCGAACTTATATGTATAAACACTTGATTTTTCTCAAGACTTTTATTTCTAACCAATACTAGAAGACTCCAGCAAATCCTCACCTACTATAAAGGCGTCGCTTGGGTCTGGCCACATAAATCATGAAGAGTACAATGGCTAGGTGACTATGCTCAAAGCTTTGTCTTTGGGCTGCAGTTGGCACTAAGGTAACCCCATAATAAGCCCACTGTTCATCAGTTTCAGAATGCTCAGAGATGGGTCTTACACTATCATTTGTACAATGTGTTAAAATTGGCTTATTAAAAGAGCATGGGCTCTCTGCCTGAGTGATCACTTTTCCTTTCACCTTTCAGTAAACATCTGCTTTCTTTCCAGTGAACCAGCTTCTTCCCCCTGTTAAATGTGTTTATTAAATAAACGTGTTAAAAGTAAAAGTTGGTTTCAAAATGGTGGTCCTGACTGGATGGAAAATAAAGGGGAATGATTTTCCTGCTGCTGAAATGCCGACTAGGATCAGTGCTACTGTAAATCTAGCTAATCTCAGCATGAGGGGCTTGTTTTAAATCTCTCCCAAGGCAGAGCTGAAAGTTATTGCTGGACACTACACAGCTTTTCCCCTCTGAGCCAAGAACCACTTTCATCCGTTGTGGGGGCACCACTAGGCCGAGCGCCAAGAAAGTGTCGCCTGATTGTGTATTTTCCTGTGACGTTCAGTGGTAGGCGGCTGGAAAATAAGCTGGAGCCTACGCCTGCCACACGTGGGCTCCTTAACTGTAGGTGTTTGTTTTCACAGCTTGCTGGCTCCAACTGTATTTGGGCTTTAAAATTCTGTGTTCTCACCGCCAGCTGGAGGCACTGGGCCTGGAGCGGCTGTATGGTTCAGACTGTGCCTCAGTCCTCCAAAAGGGTTGCAAGGATTTGCTTTTTGTAATTAGAAACTGCTCAAGGGATTACCTAAGAGGACCCTTCCTTCCAAAGCCCTGTCCTAAGTCCACTCTGCATACAAGGGCCTGGCTTTACTGCAGTGCAGCCACTTGGAGGCAGAATTGTTAGCAAAGCAGCTTGGGGGGGGGGGCGGGCTGCCC